AATGCGGCCACAGGATATAAAGAGAAGTGGGCCAAAACTGAAAGTTGCTATACATACACGCACAGAGGGTGGGTTTCGCTTGAGAACCCTCTCTCCCCTGGCCAACTTCTCCGGTGGAGTTACCTAGAGCGCGAACGACAGCGCATCCGTAATACGTTCGTTGAGAGAGGAAATACAAATAAATAATAAGTGAGGGACATGGGCTTTTGGTTTGATTCATTTGTTTTGTTTTTTTTTTGCAGAGTTGCAGTGATTCAATACAGCCCAAGGGTGAAAAATTGGTTCTGGAAAATCTAATCCCTGAACTGTCGGTGACCCCAAATAGAATCAGGAATGGCTCTGGAGAACGCTTGCGGGTTCACACAGCAGCCTGATTGCATAATGGCATAATTGACTGATATTGCGGCACAAGTGCCCCAAGCACACAGATCTCTCGTCGCACCGAGGGGCCAATGAAGAGCAAACGCCATTGGGCCGGGCAATAAAAACGGACACGGACACGGACTCGAAAGCGGGAGGTCCGGTAAAAAAGATACATCCACCCATCACAATAATCTGAATGTCCGTCAACGCATGCGACGACAAAGAGATTCTCTTGATTAAGGTCAGACTTTTATCAAGATTGTCGACTACTAGCATAAGGCATTTACGTAATCCAAGATTTTCAGTAAGATGCTGAACTCACCCCAACTGTCTATCGAACGTCCGAAGTAGGAGTTGTCCTCTGAATCGTAGACCATCTGCTTCAGGGACTTCTTCTTCGGCCTCTCTGGCGGTCTCGAGTAATATTGTTGGAATCCATCTATGCAATCCTCGGTTATGGTCGGCATTCTTCCGCGCTTTGGCAGCTGGCGCTTCCTCAGTTCAACGGTTATACTGTTATAGGGCTAATGGGTGGAGATTGCCTTTGCAATAGGTTTCAAAATGTGGGATCGGAATGAAAACGGTAAACGGAAACGGGAATCGGGATCGGGATCGGGATCTGAATCGGTATCGGTATCCAAATAAGCTCCTGTATATAGATCCGTTCGGTCGGCGTTGGTCTTGGCCTGGGCTTACAACACTGGAAACGCTGATGGACACTGTGATACTATGAATTTGCGCTGCACACGACAAGTTGACACCGCTGTGCGCCGCGCGACACTGATCCGAATTTGACAAAGAAAGACCAAGCAACGCCGAACCGGGGGAAATGTGTCTGAAAATCTGAAATATGAAATACGCAAGAGTCAGGCTTAATCAAATATTTTATGCATGTGTGCGGAAACAGGCGCTGCGGTTGCCATCGGGATGGCAACTCAAAAAGCCCAGTTCCAAATCGTGGAAGACGCAGTCGCGGGCGCGACACAATTTTCATTTAATTGAAGTCTAAGATCGCGGTGACTATCATCATTTAGTGGCTGCTGCCTGACAAATCCCCAGCCGGTCGACGAAATGTAGGCGAAAATTAACTATGATGATCATCCCACTAATTGCCGCATGAAATATGGCTTCCTTTGGCACTGAGACCACTTTAAAATTTACAAGTCCAAATCAGATGTTAAAAGCAACAAGGCAGGTGATCTACAAACTGGAAGGGAAAAGATTGGAAACGCATCGAAGCGGTAGTCATGGCATTTTAGTTTTAGCAAGGATAGGCTCGAATTAATAAGCGCCAATTTCGCGTCTCCGCCCGTCCAATTTTTGAATTAGGTCAGGCCGAGCAGCCTTCCTTGGCATAGAGATGGACGGAATATCTAACCAAGAATATCTGTGTGTTATCTGTTAATGCCACTGGGGTTTCAATTGCAAAACAAAAGGCCACGGCTTTTTCGAACAAAGTTTTAAAATTTACCTTAAAATCGATAAAATTAGAATTATCGTCAGCTATTTATCGATTCGCGACCTTGCTGACGCCACCTGCCCGGTCAACGACGGTACCTCTTTATACAGGTGCGTCCCCCTTTTAAAATATCCTAAAAGCCGATAGTGTCGCTAATTCTATATCAAGCGACGCGATTTCTGGTCACTCACCGACGGTTTTGAACGAATTGAATGGCATGTCATACGGTATTATTAATACTGATCTTTCCAAAATTTCAGAACATGTCGCCCCTGGCCTCTGAAGAGAGCCATCGGTATTAACAAGAGCAATAAAATCACTAGGCTCACCGTAACGACCAGAAAGATTGTTACGAGTGTTGAATTTTCTACCATTATTACAGGTGGAAGTTTGATGTAACGATAGTTGGTGTAGGAAGGCGATCCAAATGTAGAAATATGTAAAACACTATCATAAGCACGAGGAACAGGATTAGTACAACGATGGTTAGAATTTGTGCTAATAACTTCGTTTCCATAACTTCATACGATTTGTATGATTTGTGTTTTCGAGATAAGCTCCACGTACGACGACTTAACCCGACTGGGACCGTGTCTGTGACTATATTAAACGCCCGATCGCATTGACAACTAACTCGAAAGCTTAGTCAGAGAGTGATTGATCCCGAAATCTGACGGAAACCCGAAATTTTGCGGAAGTAACTTACAATTTTTAAAAGGCTGCAGGTGGGGCGTCCCCCGCACCATCACCAACTTCGGGTACATTTACAGGTTCAGGTTCCGTTTGTTCTGTGGTTTCGATGGTAGTAGGTTTCGCAACATCGTATGGATTGTCAATTATGAAGTAAACGAACATTAAAATCAGGATAAGGAGGCACACAATCACTGATATGCCAACCAGGGCCAATATAATTTTCTGATTCATAATTTAAATTCCCAAAGCCTTTGTACTTTAGCAAAGTCTTGATGTTCTATTGGATCCTGGGGACAAAAAAGATTTATATTTCGATATTGTTTGTCTTCGATTTTGTATTAGGTGTACACAAAGCTACAATGATGAACAGAAGGGTCAAAGCTATCTTAGATGAGTCTATTTGATATTCAAATATAGGGTCTTTATAGGTTCGGAAAGGCTTCCTTTTACCACCGAATAATCTTTCGTATGCGAATATAATGAAACCTTCGCAGTTCTTTTTTTATTAATAGCAAAATGAAATAGGAAAGTTTGAAATATAAAAACTTACCGGTCGCCTAGCACGTTGTAACACAGTACGCCCATATTCCACATCCAGTATAATGTAAACAATAAGCAGGATATCGATGATTACGAGTATGGCAATAATAATAGAGAATATGATTACAATATTTTTTGTCTCCATTTCAACGCAGAGTGGTTTGAATTAATTTGGAGGAAATTTTGAGGAAGTTTTAGTTGGTTTTGAGTTTGAGTTTAAATGAATAAATGTTGTTACCAACTTTGACAGAAAATTCTTGAAGTACTTAGACTCGTATTATTGATTCTTTTCTAAGAATTAATAGTTTTATTTATTTTTTATATATAATTATTATTATTTATTAAGCCCGGCGAAAACAATTTTATTCATTAATATATTTAAAAATAATTGTATTTTAGTATTTTTATGACAAGGTCAGTAAAGTCAAGGGCTAGTCCAGGTAAGTATGACCAAAAATTTAGACATAAGAAAAGAAGGCTGTGGTTAAAATGGAAAGGATTTATCTTTTAAAAATATATAAAAGTATATCTCCCGTACGTTGAAAGAGCTTTGAAACGTTATATTTGCGATTACCATATAAGGAATAACTGGTAAGTTGAAAAGTCATTCATGAATGGCTCTATTTAGAGTGTTGATCAACGGAAGTGTTTGTTTCTCAGTTCCGGGAGCTTTAAAAATTTAACAATGCCGGGCCCTCAGACACTTGTGATGTATGGCTTGATTGGCATCCTTATCGTGGTTATTGTAATCATCTCTTTAATCCTGATCGTTGGGTTATATATTCATGATCCGAATCGTAGCACAACCCCAAATGTGACGACAACGGAGGAAAACTGGACAACCACTTAACCATCACTAATAATCTTTACAATATTTTTCGGATTTACTGACTTTTTCTTCAGATTTTTATTAGTCAAATTTAAATTTTAAAATTCCAAGTCTTAAAACTAATCGAATAATGTTGTCTAATAAACGAATCCAATATTCACTTTTCTTGTAGGATTACTTGATTTTCGGTACGCGGTGTCAAGCCTGTAGTAACCCTTGTGTCAAACTTCAAAAGTCTACTTTCATATACGAACGTCATATATTAGACTAAAAAACTGTCTTCAAATGTTTCCGTCCTGGCAAAGTCTCTTAAGCTGGAAGCCTCTAAAAATAGAGGGGCACCGTCGGGCGGCCGACGGAATGGAACCTGTTGAGATAATCGACTTGACAATTCCCGAAGAGGATCATCGCGTCATTCAGCAGCTGCACGACGGAAACAAAGGGATCTATACGTGCCCCATTTGCTTGGAATATCCTGAAGCGGCTGTGGCCACGTCGTGTGGACACGTCTTCTGCAGGGAGTGTCTAATCAAAGCTTTGGTTCGGCGACCAATTTGCCCGATATGCAAGAAAGGCGCGAATAGATTTATTCGCTTGTTTACTTAATTTCATTTATGTTTAATTAATAACAAAATAAATGTAATTGAATGCACAGAATCAGTTGGTGAAGGATGCCGGCGCAGTTCTCCTTTCTTGCAGCTCAGACGCAGATGGATCGGAAATGCCTAAAATGCCCACACCGCGACTCTAGTCACGCGACTCAACTCGTGTGGAAAAAGAAAATTAAATCGGAAATTCGAATTTTCCCCCCAACAGTAATTATAATGGCTGTTCCCAATGACATAAATTTCTAGATTTTTGTAGAATAACCCAAGGAAACTAGAACCTGAGTATTATTTTTTTGCAATATTTATTTTAATTTAAGCCGAAACGAGCCAAAAGAACTGACATATATGGTGTTGCTTTAGTCAAGTCGGATCTACGAAAGCCATTCATCTTGATCCGAGCTGCTTCGATTTCCATCCAAAATGCGGCACCCAACATGTCCATCGTGTCTCACAAGCGCCATTACATCCATCTAAAGACTTTTCCAGGGTCACTTAGAAGCCACCTAAGGGATGAAATCGGTAGGAATCCATGAATAGGGCAGCTGTAAAGCAACTACTTACGCGCGATAGACTAAGCAGGAAAGTTAGAGATTACAGGGGAGGGTCCGCCAGAAGGCCCTAACAACAGCATTTCGGCGGAGTGTTGTAGCAGTGAGCTTTGCACGGAGCACACCAAACACAGGGTGCGTTATCCTTGTTGATTAGATAGCGTTTGGGGCAGAAACCTTCAAGAGGTAAAGTGTCACACCACGGACTGATCAAAGGGATCAAGTCTTCGATGCTGTGGCACGCACTGTGCTGCCGAGCTAGCCACGTTCTCTTCCTGCAGTGCTCTTACCTTACACGATTCTCAGAAGGACAGACCAAAACGCGGACAGACGGACAAATAAACGGACAAAACGGACAAATAAACGGACAAAACAAACAAATTGAAATTAAGGTCATGTTCCCGCTTGACCTGACTTACATGGATACGTTGGAGGTGTGTTGTAGTAGTTCCAGACACGAGGATCGGGAATTCCGCCTTCGGGCAGAGGGGGACAGCACATGCCTGGGGCAGGAGAGCAAGGAATGGGCGACGGGGCTCCACACGGCGGACTGTGCGGGCCACAGCAGGGTGTTTCATTACAGGGTCCACAGCATCCACATCCGTTACACATGTTGAGTCCTTACGCTGCGTGCGAAGGGATAAGAAGAGGTAATAAGGACAAATACCGCAAACTTACTATTTTGGGTGGATTAAAATCGAAAAGAATTTAGAATTTTGAGAGATTTAGAAGCCGAAACGACGAGTCCGAGAGTCAGATATTGAATGAGGACAGCTGCTCACACAGCCAAGTACATCCGGGTGAAGTTTAAAATCGGGCTTGAAATGAAAGTCATGGCCATCTTTATCGGTTCTCTCGGCCTGCTTAGATGTCGATACTGTAATCTTGGGGTTTAGATAATTTTAAGCAAAAAAAAATGAGCACTTTAAGTAAATACTTATTCTATTTTATGATTCCAGAAGTTTGGAGTTCCGATTTTAAGATAAAAAAGAATACCGTCAAAAGGAATCTAAAAACAGCTTTTTATTTTGGCATTTTAGATACACCCAAACCAATTAATTTCCGTGATATTTTCATGCATTGTATTATATTTTTATAAACTTAAGGCTTTACTCCTTTTTTGATTAAATTTCTCAAAATATTCATTTTTACATACTACTACAACGCATTTTTTACTTTCTCGGACTACTTGATTTCCATTCGTTGTTTCATGCTAAGCTAATTACCCTTGAGTCTAATTTCAAATGTCTACTGTCATTTAATGTCATTTATTACATAACAGTCTTCAAATGTTTACGTCCTGGCGCAGTCTCTTGAGCTGGAAGCCCTTGAAAATAGAAGGACACCGTCGGGCTGCCGATAGAATGGAACCTGAAGAGATGATCGATTTGACAACGCCCGAAGAGGAGCAACGCGTCATGCAGCCGCTGCCCGATGGAAACAATGGCATCTATTCGTGCCCCATTTGCTTGGATTGTCCTGAGGCGGCGGTGACCACCAAGTGTGGCCATGTCTTCTGCAAGGAGTGTCTGATCAAAGCCTTAAGTCAGTCTCAAACGTGCCCGATATGCAAGAAATTCTCCATAACTTTTATTCGTTTGTATACTTAACTTCGAGCAGCCTTTGTATTAAATATTTTCTTATGTTTATTTAATAATAAAGTAAATATAAGTAAATATGGTCGTCAATGGCGTTACAACCTCACGGAGCACAGAATCAGCTGGTCGAGAAAACCAGTGCAATCCCCCTTTTTTCGCACCACCAACGCAGATGGATTGGGATTGCCTACATATGTATATATTTTGGTTAGCTATTTTCTTACTCATAAAATAAATATACGAACAAAAGTAAGATTTCCGCTTTTTGAATTTTCCCCAAAAGAGCAGACATAATTTGAATAAAGTTAAACCCCGTTTGTAATATCCCAGGAGAAATAATTTACCTAATAATGAGAGGGCTATCCGTGTTAAAAAACACGTCTTGAGAGCACACAAGATGCACTTTTCAGGGTAAAAATAGACAAAAAATGTTTCCCAATGGCATTGCTCATTCGATTCAAGTACAGCCCTAATGAACCAAAATATTTGTCCAGCTTTCTGTGTCCAATAAGAACTATCTTTTCTAAATATCTGAATTTCTTGCACTAGGCAGAATTACGCAAGAAATCAAAAGCCACTTTTTTTTTTATTTTATTCTAAGCCTAAACGAGCCAAAAGAACTGACATATATGGTGTTGCTTAAGTCAAGTCGGATCTATGAAAGCCAATCATCTTGATCCGAGCTGCTTCGATTTCCATCCAAAATGCGGCACCCAACATGTCCCATCGGGTCTCACAAGCGCCATTACATCCATCTAAAGACTTTTCCAGGGTCACTTAGAAGCCACCTAAAGGATGAAATCGGTAGGAATCCATGAATAGGGCAGCTGTAAAGCAACTACTTACGCGCTATAGACTAAGCAGGAAAGTTAGGGATTACAGGAGAGGGATCTGGAAGAAGGCCTAGCAACAGCATGTCGGCGGAGTGTTGTAGCAGTGAGCTTTGCACAGAGCACACCAAACACAGGGTGCGTTATCCTTGTTGATTAGATAGCGTTTGGGGCAGAAACCTTCAAGAGGTAAAGTGTCACACCACAGACTGATCAAAGGGATCAAGTCTTCGATGCTGTGGCACGCACTGTGCTGCCGAGCTAGCCACGTTCTCTTCCTGCAGTGCGCTTACCTTACACGATTCTCAAGAAGGACAGACCAAAACGCGGACAGACGGACAAATAAACGGACAAAACGGACAAATAAACGGACAAAACAGACAAATTGAAATTTAGGTCATGTTCCCGCTTGACCCGACTTACATGGATACGTTGGGGGTGTGTTGTAGTAGTTCCAGACACGAGGATCGGGAATTCCGCCTTCGGGCAGAGGGGGACAGCACATGCCTGGGGCAGGAGAGCAAGGAATGGGCGACGGGGCTCCACATGGCGGACTGTGCGGGCCACAGCAGGGTGTTTCATTACAGGGTCCACAGCATCCACATCCGTTACACATGTTGAGTCCTTACGCTGCGTGCGAAGGGGTAAGAAGAGGTCATAAGGACAAATACCGCACACTTACTATTTTGGGTGGATTAAAATCGAAAAGAATTTAGAATTTTGAAAAATTTAGAAGCCGAAACGACGTGTCCGAGAGTCAGATATCGAATGAGGATAGCTTCTCACATAGCCAAGTACACCCGGGTGAAGTTTAAAATCGGGCTTGAAGTGAAAGTCATGGCCATCTTTATCCGTTCTCCCGGCCTGCTTAGATCTGGATATCTTGTGTTTTAGATCGTTTTGAGCAAAAAAAAAAGTGGGGACATTTCAAAAGAATGCTTATAGCATCTTTACTACACTAAATTCAGTGGGATTTAAAAAATAATATAGGCACTTTTGCTATTCTTGGTCGTGGCCAGGTTTTGATATAAATGTCTCATGACAAGAATGCATATTTTTTAGCAATTTTTACATTTCCAGATCTCAGCGAAACGAATTCTTAGTAGGGGCGAGAATACTATATGGATTAGAAAACTAAAATGACGCTAATGATCCAGTTATTGTGCATTAATTCGCCACCCCACATCTTCCCCATAACCTCTCAAAAAATATATACATATTTCTGTTTTAATTTAATGCCTGAAAATTTAGAAACACAAATGATTTTGAGATCTTAATCCAAGACGTATGGACGTGATTAACAAGGTTCCCCATTCGATTTCCGGAAGTTGGCTCCATCTTAACTTGCAAAAATCCGCCACAACACATGTCCCGCCAAGAGGCACGCCAGAATCCGATCAAAGCACTTGCCAGGAACTATTTAGAAACCACCTGCGGGAGGAGATAAGTAATATCCCATAAATAGGGCAGATACCGCACCACTTACACGGGACGAGATGTGGAAGGATTAGGTGTCATAAATTAAGGACTTGTAGCCTGACGACAGCATTCAGTCCATTGATCCTGCCTTGGTGCTCACCAAACTCGGGACATGCTAATATTGTTGAGGGACTAGCTTTTTGGGCATGAAGATCCTGCAGAGACACAAAGAGTCACCACCAGGAGGACGTTTTAGAAGCTGCGGCCGCATAGTCTCCGGACATGGCACAGTCTCCTTCACCTCACGGCTCGCACGGCTTTTTAACGTTTACTGACTAACTGACTGACGGACTGACGGACTGACGGACTGACGGACGGACGGACGAACGGAGACGGGGGATTCGGACAAAGACCTGTATCGGACTTACATGGGTACGACACAGGTGAGTTACAATAATTCCAGACACGCGGATCGGGAATGCCGCCTTCGGGCAAAGGAGGGCAGCACATGCCCGGAGCAGGAGAGCAAGGAATGGGCGAGGGAGCACCGCACGGGGGACTATGCAGGCCGCAGCATGGAGTTTCCTTACAGCAACAGGGACCGCAACCACAGCAGCCACCGGCAGCTCGTCCACCACATGCACCGCCGTTTGGAGCTCCGGTGGCGGCACAGCGCATACGCTTGTTGTTCACGCCCATCATCATGTTGGCATAGCGTAGTGGGAAGGCCGCTGGACCGCAGGTGGGGAACGGGAAACACAGGCAGGCCGGTCTTCCCTGGCAGGCGGACCTTGGACACTTATCCTGCAGGCCGTTCCGTTTCACGCAGTCGCAGGTGGTATACATGATGCCGCAACGCAACTCCCTGCTGCGGCATCCGCGCGGCTGCAATGGATGGTATAGAGCATTGTTCGGACATCAAGGGCACCTACTCACCTCCAACGATCCACATCCGTCACACATCTTCAGCTCGTTGAGCGCTGCATGGAAACCGATTAATCAAATACTACGTAACACAGTGACACACTTACTTTATATTGGTGAAATAGTTTTCGAAAAAAAAATTTTGAATTTTGAAAAATTTTTAGTCCGGCCGAAACGAGGGGTCCGAAAGTCTGATATCGAATGGAAAACCCATCTCAGGTCCTAGACCACATTTGGTAGGATTTGAAGTCAAAGGCAAGGCCATCTTGTTGGGATTACAGCCTACTAGAGTTAAGCGAATTTGATTAATTTTCAAGATGAAGATTTCGTGACTTTCGTGATCTCGACGCTTGCACGGCCAGATGATTGGGGAGTCGGCCGGACTAACAGACATGGCTAGATACGTTACCATTACCCATACCTTCTAACGAATACAAAACAAGCATGTAGACTGCTCATTACAGTCTTTTCACTTGATGCAAAAATACCCAAAGCTTTCCAGTTGTCGACGAAAGCTCCACTATCATTTACTGCGGTCGAGGTTTTCGAAATTGCGGCCGTCTCTTCAGTTCGGTCTAAGTTTCCAAGCTGATCGGAGTGGAGCAATGTCGAACATTGCAGTTATCGGAGCCGGGGTGAACGGTGTCGCCAGTGCTATTAAGATACTTGAGCACTATGCTAACGAGCCAAAGAAGCCAATCAGGGTGACGATCTTATCAGAGGACTTCACGCCAAACACCACAGGAGATGGATCGGCGGGGCTCTGGGGTCCCTACCTACTGGGCGGCACTTCGCAGTCGAAAGTGTAGTACGTTTCTCCGGTTATGGCCGTTATCAAGTTATTTTAACTGAATTTCGAGCAGCAAGTGGTCGAAGAGCATGCACCAGTTTCTGGAGCAGATCTGGCTGAGCGGAGATGCCGGAGAGGCTGGGGTCTGCCTGCTGCCCTGCATCCGTTTAAGTACCTCTACGGTGGACATAGTTGGAGATTTCTGGCGGGATATTGTGTATGGAGCCGTGGATCTTACAGAGAAACAGCTGGCTGAATACAACGAAGGTCGCACCGTAAAATTTACGTAAGAAAAATAATAATCAGAATTATTTATCTATTGTCTAAAATAATCGGAGCTACGCACCACTTCCAGTTCAGGTCTATCCTTTGTTACCTACACCTCGGAGCCCGTTAAGCTTCTGCCGTATTTGATGAAACGTTTCGCCCGCAGCGGTGGTGTAGTTGTCCGGAAAAGGATAACTGACTTGGAGGCATTCATCGCCAATTCCGAATACGATGTGATTGTGAACTGCTCCGGCTTGGGCTCCCGGACTCTACTAAACGATGATCAAATGTACGCAGTACGCGGACAGGTGTCCCGAGTGAAGGCAAACTGGATCTTTTCTGCCGTTCTGGACGAGAGCGACGATGGAAACTACATTATACCCAAGTGAGTATGATTACGCATCCTTGAGACATTTTTAAAATATTGAACCGAAAGCACCGAGAGCGTTGTCCTGGGCGGAACTCATCAGGAGCGGGACTACAATACGGAGGTCTGTCAAAAGGACAAGCAGCTAATTGTGGGAGGCTGTCGTCGTTTCGTTCCTGGCCTGGAGCACACCGAATGCCTCTTTGACTGGGTGGGTCTACGCCCGGGTCGTACCCAACTCCGACTAGAAGCCGAGCGCCGGGGGCGAAAGCTTCTCATTCATAACTATGGACACGGTGGTAGCGGAGTCACCTTGTGCTGGGGTTGTGCCGACGATGTTCTCGACATCCTACTAGCCGCCAAGAACGGTTCCAAGCTTTAAGCTAAATTTAATAATATAATAATAATAATAATTCATGTTTTAGTGGAATACTATGGGCCCACTTTTGTCTTAATAACTTAGAATATCTAAATTGGATCATAAAAATTATAAGCGCGAAAATTCAATAAAAATAAATGTATAAATATGTAAATAAAATGAAAAAATGCATGCAAATGATGGTAATACTTTTCTCAGTGTAAGCAGTGGCAAGGGGATCGTATTGATAGGCTTATCACTGACTGCCTGGAAACATTTCCTCTTTCCCCCTGAAAGTCGCCCTTCCTGAGTGTATTTGCAATTAAACACTATTAGATGGGAGGCTGGGTGACTGCCGAGGTGACAGCCCAAAAGTATGCAGACATTTATTAATATATAAAACATAAAATGCAAATCACAGGTCATCGTCGTGTCGTTTTTCAGCAGCTTCCCTGGCTAACCTGGCGTCCAAGGCCTCGTGGAAAGACTCGAAGCCGGGCATATCCAAGTACTTCAATATTGGGGCAACTGGCAGTTCGTAGAGCAGTGCGTACATCTCGTCCAGCTCTCGCAGGATGTCAAAAGGCCGGGTGTTGCCCACCTTGTAGATCGAGTAAATGGTTCGTCCGATCTCATCGTACTCGATCAGACTGGCAGCCTCCTGGTCCACGGAGCTCAGGGCAATGAAACTTACCCGCGGCATGTGCATGTGCTGGGCAACAAAGCTGAACACATCGAAAATGGTCACAAGGAAGTCCCTATTAAAGTATAATTCGTCCGGAAAGGCGATCTCATGAACCATCAGGGCGTCGTAGGTGGAGATGCCCAGGTTGGCTTTGGTCGCATCGATGAGCTCCTTCTTCATCATTATGATCTGCTGGAACAGATTTCTGGGCATGGAGGAAGGAAAGAATACCCTGAAAAGACCAGACCCAGTTAATTTGTGAAAGGCGGGTGCAGTTTGAATTTGACTTAATGATCATACCAGGAGTGCCATTCCTCGGTCATCCACTCGAGCAGGCCAACTGCCTTTATTTGCGTTTCGTCCTCGCTGATCATCATCACCGAACACTCGTTCCGCAGAATGTGCAGCACATACCTTTAATTAAATGATTAGTTAAGATGAAGTTCTTAAATGAAATTTTATGTTTCGTAAATAAAGATTTCATATTACTTCGAATATGTTTCTTTCATGCCCTCCAGTTCGAAAAGACCGAGACTCTCGAATACCAAGCTTTTTAGAAACGATTGGGACCACATGAACTCGATTACCATGTCATAGTACCTAGAAACATTTTATGTATTAAGCTTCAGCTTCAGACTTAAATTGGGTTTGCATGCTTTGAGTTTATGTCTACGATGAGCATATTCTCGTAAACATCCCATTGGATGTCATATCGCAAAGTTCGAATATCGTCCATCGCAGCCAAATCACTTTTAATTTTTCTACACTGAAGATTTAGTTAATAAATGGATACGAATTTAAAGAGAGACCAAAGTACGGAAAAATATCTGAATTTATATAAAAATTCGGAATAATTAAATTAAGAAATGAAAATCAGAGCATACTTTTTGGGTGGCTTAAAATTATGACATTGATATTTATTTAGGATTAACAGGTATACTGCTACCTATGTGGCAGCTTGAGCAGGTTTTAAATATAGGGGATAACAAAGTGTTGGTATAAAGGTTACAATACAAATACAATATTTCTATTCATTAACAGCTTAAATTACATTGGAATCTTTTGAGTCTTCTCCTTCTTGGTCTCCAAATTAGCCTCTTCTTCATATTTGAGTGGGACTTCATTATTTTGAAAATAGATTGAAAAACGAGCTCAACGAGATATAACATTCCATTTTCCGACCATTATTGGCGTTGTAATGAAGAAAATACTGATATTTTGAGACTCAAATCGGGACAGAGCGATTTT